TTCCATTCATCTTATCTTCTTAGGCTTGTTAGCTTCCTGGGAGACTTGACAAATTGGTACGTGCGCCTCAACCGATCTCGGCTAAAGGGTGCAGATGGCGAGGGTTCCACATGCGTCTCTTTGGCCGTTCTCTACGAGGTCCTTCTCAAAATGGCGGTTGTTATGGCTCCATTCACTCCGTTCTTTGCAGAGTATCTCTATCAGCAATTGCGAAAACGGCTAATTGCCTTTACTAGCGTGAGCGCGGCACCGGATACAGTTGGCAAGGCTGACAGTGTCCATTATGTCATGCTCCCACAAGCTGACAGCTCGAAGCTTGATGATGGCGTCGTCATGGGAATGAATCTACTGCAGCGTGTTGTTGAGCTTGGCCGCCGCGCACGCGAAGCTGCCAATATTTCGATGAAAACGCCTGTCAAGGAAGTGATGGTGGTCTGTGGTGACGTTAGAGCCCTCTCTGCAATTCAGGGACAACTTGAGTCGTACGTCCTTGAGGAGCTCAATGCCTGGGGCGTTTCGTTTACAAGCGACGTCGATACATGGTGCTCAGTTTCTGCCCTACCCAACTTACCTATCCTTGCAAAGCGACTCGGTAAGAAGATGAGCATTGCAACCGCCATCATAAAGAATCTTGACTCAACTGCGCTCCGTAACTACAGCAAGGTTGGTGAGCTCAACATTGATGTGGATGGGCTATCTCTCCAGCTTGTTGCCGGCGACCTCATCGTCAAATCTACCTTCGCCGGGGATGAGACGAAGTACGCGGCTATGACCACGCTAGATGGTGCCCTCACGGTTGCCATAAGTACGGTACAGGATGACACTCTTCGTCGGCAAGCGATTGCTCGCGACGTCTGCAACCGCGTCAATAAGCTCCGTAAAAAGGCCAAGCTCAATATTGCTGACAAGGTCGATGTTTTCTTTGCTGATCTCGACCCGGCAGAAAATACCGATGGCTTTATTTCTACCGCCGCAGCTCTCGCTTGCAACAAACCTCTTCTTGATAAAGCCAAGATCGTTCCAATACCATATGCGAACTGCTGTGGACAGGTGATCATCAGCGACACTAGTGGCACCGCCTTTGGATCGAAGTGTCTTAAGATTGCCCTTGCTGCACCTGCACTTTCACTATCGCCCGCAATCAAGAAAAGGCACGAGGAGGATGCTGTCATTCAAACTCTGATTGCCTCCTGCGCGCTCCACAGAAAGGAATCTCTTCAAGGGACTTTATCTGGCACGGCGTTCAACCTTGACGTCGGTGCCGATATCTTTTCAAGCGCGACTGCCGCTTACCTTGCCATGTAGCCACGGTGCATGCTGTGGTATCA